GGGGGACTGTCCATCAGCAGTCTCCTCTGGGGCCTGGAGGTGGCAGTGGCAGCCAGGGACAGCGCGTCACTGACGCCGTCATAGTGTCACTAACACGCTTGCAGCGTAATGTCTAATGCACGATGCCCGAGGCACCTTCCACGTGCAGGAAAGCTATGCACGTGCCCACCGACACACGTGGTAACACATTTGCTGGCTAAAGCTAAGGTGGTACGAGAGAGGAGGGATGCTAAAAATGGCGTACCGACTGCCTGGGTCAGTGCAAGGCAGCCACGGCTGACTATTTGATTATTCATCCCTGCATGTGTATTCAAGCACTTTAGTTACATAACTCCGGCTCTGGTGGAACTAAAAACGGAATAAAAGTGGATATAAGCGGTTACGGGGCACCGCCTGCAGTGTGTTTCTCTCTGTGTGATGTTGAGGGGGTTGTTGGTTTTCTTGGTGTCATACTTGTTTAAGGCTGTGTGCGCCTGTGTGTGCAAATTGCATGCTTAATGGGTTTCATGCAGTATTTAATTCGTCCCTAAGTATAATGTCTAGTCGAATTGATGCCAGAGCCGATTACCACACTTTCACAAAGTTGCAATTACGAAACCAGTGTGCTGGACTGATTTTAGAGATTTCTAATCTAAAGGGTAAAAGCGGAAGGACCGTTTCAAATCGCACAGTTTGAAGACCTTTGGTTGAAAAGTGTGACTGCGTAAATCCACTGCATGTGTGTCAGAATGGGAACGTGTGCTATAACAATAGCCACATTAAGACGGAAGACTCGGGGAGGAAAAAGGAGGGCATGTCAGCCAGCACATCTCACACAAACCAGTTTTGCTCAGGTATGTTTGTTTTCCTTCGGGGAAAGCAGAGGCTCACACATCCCCACACAAATACATAAACACACTGCCTTTGTCTGCATCATGAGACTCGGGGCTGAAATTCCGATGCACCTCATTTTTGTTTAACAGGCAAAGGCAAAACACACGGCGTACAATGGCTTCCTGATGGGGTGTGCAGAGCTGTGTCACGTCCATGTGCAGATGCATTACTCACAGATGACACTACCTACAGGTTACACCGTTTGTGCCTGTAATGCTTCTACATACATGGGGTTGCCGATAAGTCAATATTAATCACAACTTTCTTTTACAATTGGTAGCCAGTTATTTAACTGACATTATTTAATTTAGTTATTTAATTCACATCACCAGCGTTGGTGTACCACTATAACAGATGTAGAAATGTGTTTCTGTGGTTAGAAATCAGTAACTTGTTAAGAGAAGACACCATCTTTTAAAGTCCTTCATTAGGATTTTGTCTTAGTCGGCGTATGGAAGTAAACCCTCTGATGATGCATGAATGTCTATTTCAAGTTGTTAATCTGGTATGTTAGAGATGTGGCATTTGTCTTTCAGTGTTGAATTAATTGTGAAGACTATTTAAAAAGAGATACTGCATCCATCTCATGGGGTCGTCAGAGCTGGTCCTTGTCTTCTGTTTCCTGTTAACTGTATTGCCTCCTGGTTAAAAGAGGCTTCTTGAATTCTCAGTCAAGTTCCCCTCCTTTACTTGACCCAAGAGGATGAACATATTTCCAGTGTGTTCCTTCATCATCCAGCAATGTGTTTTCCAACCTGATAAACTCTAAGCAGCCTTTGTCCTACTTGTGCCGTCTGTTTGATTTGTTTTGTGCTGCAAAATAATCAACCAGCTTCAGCAGATTTCCCCTGACGATTCGACCCAACGCCCCCCCCCCCCTCAGCAAAACGATCCATTACATTCATCTATTGTGTCTCAAAAATGAATTATTGATGTTACATATTTCAATGCCTATGTCGTGTAGTAAGTCGATCTGTGCAGTTATCTAAAAAAAAGTGTGTCTATCAGAGACAGAGATGATTTTCAGACGCTTTCTCTCCAGCGGTGTGCCAGGACAGGCCCGTAATGCCGCTCCGCGTTGGTTCTCCTGGGCTCTCATTCCCACTTAATGACATGTCACCACGGCTCCCTGCAGGGCCGGCGCATACCTCCGCCATCTGCAGTCGTCCCCGTGGAGCATGACTGGAGGACACCAGATAGGAAGTAAATGGATGGAGGACGCAGGACTGTGCCATCAATCGCGTCACGCTGTTCCCTTTTGCTGGGGACTGACATGTGTGTCGACACGTGTGCTCCCCCCTCCCCTTTTCCGGATGTCCGGCCATCCCTCATCACAGTCTGAGGCTTCTTGCCATGCACTTCTCTCCCATTTAACAACTCTGCTTTAGCGATCTTCTTTCCCTCTCACTGCCCCAACACATAATCTATCCTCATTTCATTAAAGCTTGGGCGCCGACGTCGTTCTCGTCTCGGGAATAGGGTCCCAGCTCACTTCCCCTAGCTCTTATAGCTAGAATAAAATATAGCTCTAATAGGAGAGAGGGCACAAACTCTAGACACTGTGCATCCCCAGACGCTGGTGCATATAGAACGGGTTTTAAAACAGGTGCTCATGTTACATGGAGACACCGGAGACGAGCAAATCACTTGAGTCAACAATTAATCTGTAACGACTGTCCTAAGGCATTGTAATTACACATGCACAGGAGCGGTGGTGTAGCTTAGCTCATGTACAGGATCTCAAATATCTATAAATGAAAGTCTTTTTCAGCAGTAAGTCAATTGTTTTCATTGTTTAGTTTTTTTATAATTCTAAGCTCTCGTACAGCTGCTTCCAGTATGATCACTGAAGGTTTCTGCATGTGTGTGTTTGTTGAATTTAGGTACTTTTTTGTAAATGCTTGGGCTCTGCTCCTGCTGCCCTCTGACGACCTGTAAATCTAAAGCTAAAGGTCACCACTCTCTCCTGTCTCCTCTCTGCTGCATCCATTCACTTCCCCGCCCTTCTGCCTGCATTGGCTTTTGCTCGTGTTTTTGTTGGAAGCCACATGGTGAGGGGGCAGATGGGGCTTGTTTGCCCCTGCAGCACTGTCCTGATATTACTCACGCTCAGAGAGATGCACGGACATATCTATCAATTTGGAAGCATTGAGGGGAGGTTGAGGAGCAATAAAGCGGGTAAATAAGGGCAGCAGCTCACCTCGTGTTGCATACCTTCACATATTAAAACTTCCCACAGTCTTTTTGCAGTGTACTCCAGGCGGTTGGGTCATGTTTCTAAGACAACATGCCCATAACAGCAAAGTCTGTGGCCACTGAAAACAAATCAAATTGAGACTTTTACATAACACAATAGCGGCATAATATATACATCTATTTGTATCCAGTCGATTGAATACCGACTGCAGTCGGAGCGGTATATCTCACCCTCTACTTCCCCCCCATTCTTTGTCTCCCCCTCACTCCTTGTCAAGGCGATTTGATTGCAGTGGTGTGTAGTTTGGCTCACTGCCCACCCTGCACCACTGTCACTGTACTTTCATGGTCAAAACACATTCATGCACGCATAGCAACCGTACTAAAACTGAAAAGGAACGGATCGCTGATGGGAAATGAGAGTTCCCACGGAGCGACACTTCTCGTCTGCACTTCTGTGTCAAAGCATACGATATTATCCGTCGTGCTCCTAGTAGCTCGCTGCTACCGGGAGCAGAAACAGCAGCCCATTGCTCACAGTTACCACGGAAACTCCAAAGTTGCACTGGGAAGCCCAGCTAAGCACCTTGACTGGGTTTTCTGTGTGGGTTCATGTTATTACGCCTGTATGTTAATTTGAAACACATGGCCAGGCGCTGTGGGAGGCCTTTTTATACGACTCCCTCCCTGCTGCCTTCGTTGCTTGGTTCGTCCTCTCTAGCTCTCCTACACGTGTTCATTCGAAACAGATTATTTAAATACATGATGAGCACCACCGTGTATACTAGGTGGTACACATCCCAGCATCTGCAGAGTTTACGCTCAGTTGCTTTGGCCGCCCGCTTCGGCTTTGCAGCAACAGAAAGCCCCACTCTGCTGGCGCATGCTTTATTTATGATCTACCATGAAAAGCTCAGTGACTTAACATACTACATTATCATCTGGTACATACATGCATGAACTACGGATGCATTGTTGCCATTTTTGTTAGACCAAGTAAAAGGTCTTACATTTGAGTATTCGCCGATACCCAATATGAATGCTTAATAACACCTTTACAGTTCTGATAATACTTTTGAAATATGCAACCTGATCCTGTTGATTTTAAAATGGCTGACAATCAAAACGCTGATGCGTAACCTGGATGTCCTCAACGATATTGCGAAGTTGTTGTACACACAATGCACTGAGATGCCCTGCTTCCAACTTCATACTCTCTCTCTCTCTATCCTTCTCACTCGACCTGACACTTTATACTAACATTACACTAACATTTTACCAGTTTTTCCAGGCAAGTGGTGGCTAAAGCGTTATTTCTCTCTCACTGTTTACCCCTTTCTGTTGCTATTATTTAAGCAGCATTAGATTTACTATTTAGTTGAATAGAAACATGCATTATCAGCTCTTGCGCCGTGACTACGAAGGGCACGCTAATCTTTTCTGCAGCTGGCAACTTGAGATGTGCATCCGTCTACACGGCAGTATTGCATTGTGTTGCCATAATCTGACAGCACAAACAAGGGTAACAAAGTGGGCAACAGCTAGAACATCTTTGCATTTAGTCGTAAATAAAACACATTTTGCCACATTCTGAATCTGTCTTTAGGGAAATAAAACGCTCAACGATCAATGCTCTCCTCCTTCATTAAATCGCCGTCCTCACACATACACCACTGCCTACTTCTTGTTGGCCTCAATTTGGGAGGTGGACCGGCGTCTCCATTGTTCTTTTCTGTTTGTCGGGACATTGCTCATTTTCCTCTCGTCCTGAACATTGCTTTTTACTAAAGCCACTCTGAGATAAGTGCTCCATTTTCATTTCAATGTGCAACTGGTGAAGTAATGTTTGCTCCTCAAATGTTTATTGTGCTTAAACTACACGCAAAATATACTTTGTTTAAGAACCAGCTGCCAAATCACAGGCATAAAAGTATTAGGATTATTAGGTTTTATGCAGTTTTCCATCTGCTCCTCCATTTTAAAGTTGTTATTTCTGATCACGGTGGGGAAAGGATGAGCAGAGCCGTCTGTTCCATCTCCCCAACCTTTGTCTGCCATGACGACTTCTCTCAGCCATTCATGCACGTAAACAGGCCTCCACGTAAGGTGCTGACAAGGTACATGTACTTGAATTCAACATGGCTGTGGCCTGACATCAGATTACTCTTGGTATTTAATACCCACAGTTTATGGCTGTTGTTGAGGGTTTCAAAAAAAGTTTTCTTGATGGAGTCACTGGAACTCTTGCTCTGTTTCTGTCCTCATTTCACAGTGACTCTGTTTTGTGCTGTGACATCCCGACAGCCGACCTGACATGCGTACGTGTGATTTACGTCGTCAGTCCGCCTTTGAGTCACCACTCCTTCTTAATCACCACATGTCCACACCGCTTCTGGCACCATCTGTGTGCTTTCTCTCTACTCAATCCTCTTTCCCCACATCCATCCATCCAAAGGTTCATCATACTTATATGCAGCATACTGCTTGAAATGCTTTTGAAAATACATCGAATGTGTCAATAGTTGTGTGTAAAGTGCTGAATATTCTTTGAAAATTAGGATGGAAATTTGGCTGTATAGATAGCAGAGAAGAAGAATGCATTTTAATGATATTTGGTTTTGTCAATCTCTGTTTCCCCCAATCAGCCTCCACACAATGTCCCGTCACCACACACAGGCTTTGTGTTGTGGTACGTGGGGGATCCAGAAAGGGCACTGCTTGGGTTAGCGTCTCCTTCAGCTCCGTCTTCTCCTTCAGACACATAAGCTGTCAGAGCATATTACTGGAATATATCTTCTAAAGGTGGGGAAACAAAGAGGGGACGAGGTTTAGTGCAGGTTGTTACCATGGTGATGGGTTGGTGGTTGCCCAAGCCCACATGTGGTGTAGTTCATAAACCAGGCTTCAAGTAAGAACCTGCACGTCTCTTTACATGTCCTACCAATGCGTGTGTGTGTGTGTGTGTGTGTGTGTGCAAGCGAAGGCTTTGTAGCCGTGACCTCAGGGTCAAGCTTTGGTTGGAGCAGTACTGTTTGGGCCACAGGAGCTGTCAGGTCTGGAACAGCTTGTCCCCGACAGCCAAATGGGTCAGTACAACCGGGTCTCCGTTAGTGAGCTGGAAAAAAAACACACACACGCGCATCACTCACCACAACTCCTAGTGGACACAACGTGCTTGTCCTCACAAGGGTGGAGAAATAAAGGGAATCCTGGCGTAAAGGCCTTTAGCCTTCTTTAATGGCCTGTGGAATATAGATGTGCAGCTATGGTGCATATAGAAAAGGGAGTTAACATGCATCTAAATGGTCGACTGCAAGTCAGGTAGCTGAGCCTTTTAATTAACACATTGGCATTATGTGGTGTACTGGTGGTTGGGGGAGGTGTGCCAGATTGCTGTGGTTGGATAGTTAAGTTGTGTGGGTTGTGGGTTTAGTGGTTACAATGATTGGGGAGTTGGAATCATTCTGAATCTGTTTTTTACAACAATTCATTTCCTAAAGAAAAACAGTGAATGAGTACTCACGCACAGGTGAGGTTTCTTTGAACCACGTGGGAAAATAAGAAATTAGGGATTTGATGTCAATAAAAATAAAGCAGTTATCTTTTCAAAACAGTTGTACAATGTCTCTTGAGGGAGCTGTCTGAAGTTAAAACAAAATAACCTTGAGAATAACCTTGATTACGTCACAGTCGTGTCACCTGAGTCAGCCATATTTTAAGGTCTGTGTTATCGTTCTCCAGGTGTTACTGAAGGGCATGGTGGGAGGTTTTATGCTTAAGCAGCACTTTTGAACCATACAAGGGTCCTAAGGAGGCAACATTGGAGCTGTGCCGGTGCTGCCAGTTGACTGCTAATGGTGGCAGTGGTTTGGTTACGTAATAGAACCTCTGAGCGTTCAATACGGCATTCAGTCCCTTGACTGTTTGTTGTTGGGATGACACAGGGATGCAATGTTTGGTTGAAAACGAATTTAGTGGGCCTCGACATGAAAAGCCATTTTGGTTTTCCACAAAATAAGATCAGATAAATTGTGAAATTTTAAAATAAGAAAGTTTGAAAGATAAGATAAGTAATCAAATCACTGTTTTCAGTGATTAAATCAAATTTTAATCTCTCCTCCCTTTCTATGGTCTAAACAGTATATTAAAACATATACAACTGGTTTAATGAAGGTCCTCAGCTTCTATAAGCTAATAGAGAAACAGACACATGTGTGTTGCACAATTTCGCACAAGAAGACAATGTCAGTTGGCAAATAGAAATAAGTACACACACCGACACACACACACACACACACACACCGACACACCGACACACACACACACACTCACCATAAGCATGTGTTTACCCACAAAAAACTCTTCTTGGTAAACTGTGGCTGGCTTCCCTTGTGCACGCAAACATAACTCATTATCTTTGTGTCCTGGGATTTCATAGCATTTCGTGCATTGCTGTGGAAAACTGTGGAAAACAGGCGATTTTTGCCGAGCTTTTCAAAAAACAAAAAGCAGCTTAAAGATTCACAGTAGGCGTTTTCATTTAGTGGTTGTTTACAGAACCAGCGACAGAATGAGCCACCACACCTCCTCTGCCACTGCTTCATTAAATTAGTATCCTGAGGAAGCCATTGTGTTTGTGGGTGGAATGAAGCCCTTTGCCTCAATGACTCAGAGCGCATAGTAACCACTGCAATTACGCCACAGGAACCCGATTTCTATTCAGTCACATATTCCAGCAGCAGAAGAGAATGCCGATTACTGAGTCATGTGCTTCTTTCGCCACTGCAAATTAAACAGTCACAAATGATCTGTGTGTGTACCTCTATCACGTTTTAGATTTGAACTTCGTGTGTGTCTGCGGTTTGCCGTGTGATCTCTGTACAGCCGCACCCTGTTAACACATTATCCCCCTCTGTGGCAGATGGCGCTCCGCTGAGCGAGCTGTCATGGCCTTCGTCACTGGCAGTGGTGGCTGTCTCGTTCTCTGGACTCTTCACCTTTGTCTTCCTCATGCTGGCCTGCCTGTGTTGCAAGAAAGGGGACGTCGGCTTCAAGGTGAGCTCACTGATGCCCCCTGTTGGAGGAAATGAGACCACCACCTCGATAGAAGGAAGTCCTAATTAAGAGATTACATAAGAATGAATCATTGTAATACTAGCACTAAAAAGAATGTAAATTCACAGAATTGTCCTGTTTTAAATCCACTGCTATGATGCTGTGATTTTTGCCTGATTTTTGTTTGAATTGTTTAATCAGTTAATCGTTGGCCATGTTTTTTCTGTCAATCGTCTTCTCATTAGGCCTTTTACGCAAAGACATTTTGACTTGTCCCAGCAGGAAATGCGCAGGTTTAATCAAATGAATGATGTCTGAATTCCTTCCTGGCCGCTTTGATTTCAAGCTTACCGTGTGTTGTGCATGCTGGCTTACTGCTAATGGAGCACTCAAAAAGATCCGAACCGTCATTAGTTCAATCAGTGACACTTTCCTGAAAAAACAAGAGCAAGTGTCTGCTGTGAGTGCTAATTACAAGTGACCTACCAAGTACAGAAAAAAAAAAAACCTGGTACTGTGTCATTGCTCTACGTTAGCGCCTGATTCTCAGGAGATGTCAGGATCATGATCGATACAACTCCCTGCCCTGCAGTTGTTGATAATGTCTATTGCTGCGTCTCTCTCTCTCTCTCTCTCCCTCTCTAAACGAGTGATTCAGACCAGGAAAAGCACCCTGATCCGATCTCTGTCTCGCCTTCAGCTGCCGCCATGACTCAGCCATGCTGTGTCAAACATCGGCGCTGAACCGCGAGGCTGTGGGCTGACAGAGACTGGCACAGGCAGGCAGGGGGCATGCAGAGTGGGAGAGGAAGGAGAAACCCTCGCTGTACTGGCTGCTTTACAAGCCGCCTTATTAACTCCTATTATGGCAGCGGCGTCGATACTTCATTTTTTTTGCATTTTACTCGTGCAAAACAAATGTCTTACATGAATTACAGGCCTGATTTGTCTTTTGTTCAGAACACTTACGCAAATAATTTTTCAATTTAAATTCACAATAGTGTCCGCTATTTCACGGCATGACGATATGGGACTTTACAGTAGTTTTTCGAATTTATGTTTTGACACATTCAGGATCCGGCTAAGCCATTTCTAAATTAATAAGTAAGGGGGCACATGTTTTATGCATAAGTTGTTCTAAAGAGTAGGTGGAGATTAATAGCATTGAACTCCGAGGTGTAGGTCACGGGTCATTGATAACATGAATAATAAGTGTGGTGGACTTTTGAAGAAAAAGACAATGAAAGGATTATGATGACAAGAAAGCACATTGTGGTTACTAACAAAGACATTGTCTGTTATTAGAGCAGAACGTTAAGTCTTACTTGCGACTAAAATGCAAGCTGATATAGCACACGACGCATTGTGACTTTAGTGAATAAAAACTACCCTTGTAGTCTCACATTTAGAATTATAATTTCAGTTTAGATAAACTATTAAATCTTCATCTTTCTCATTTAGTTTGGCAGCAAATTTCACGCAACGGTTTCCCCACTTTGGCACATTTCTCAACAGCTCACCTTTAACGTGTGCATTCGTGTGGGGCTGCAAATTCTCACTGCCGCGCTGTCCAAAAAGCTCCATTATTCCACTCCATCACGGCGCTCTTACTGGAGCGCGTCGTTTGAGGCCGTGTATTAAGTGCTTTCTAAACTGAAGGCCCCCGCCCCCCCCGGGGAGCCATGCAAGGCTGACTCACAGCCAGGTGCTCGCTTTCATACGTCGCTGTGAGGCGAGTGGCAGATGGTTCTCTTGACACACATTTTGCAAAAGTACATACACCCCCACGATGATGTTTTCGGACACCTGTAAACACACATAATGATCCAATCAAATGTTTAATATTAGTCAATCCCGCAACCTACTATCCTGCTCTTCTCCTTTTTCCATTTCCTTCAGTTTTCTCCTCACAATTTTCTCCTTTTCTACATCTGTGATGGCTGCAGGTGGCATGTTGGTAACAGTTCATGAAGCAGCAGATAGATGTGTGAATCGCTCAGTGCTTGTGAGCAAAGCACTCCTGTTACCTTCTTCCCCCAAATACAGGTAGTCTTAGAAATCATAAAAAAAATTTACTTGAATTGACATCGTCAAGGGGGACTTTGACTGAATCCTTTTAACCGCAACCTCAATTACTTAATCAAGTTTTTGAGCGTTTTTTTTTTGCTGACCTAAAGGTTATTTCAAGCATTTATAGTCAGAAGATTGTTTATGTGTTGACAGCAGTATTTAATGGGCACTTGGCTGAGTGAAGTCGGGTCCCGAAGCTACATTTAGATGAGGGAAAGGAGAGATAATGAAAGCGTTTTCTCTTATCGCGTATTTGCACGGTATCAAATATGTCCCCTTTCTGGTATGTCAGCACTTTTGACACATAGGGGTTTCTATAGGGACACGCTACTACAATTAGAGAGGAAGGACACTGCGTCAGACTGTCAACAAGGAGGGGGAAGAAGAGCAGTGGGGTTCAGACAGACAGGATGTGTGGGGTCGATTACACGGATGGAAATAGGGATTCTCACTGTTTTACACTTTTGGTCTCATACTCATCCTTTCTAGTAGGGACATCGATCTGCAATGAAAAGAGCACAGTTTATGGAAAAAAAAACTTGAAAATGGGGTAAAAAAAACACTTTAATGATTAAGAACATTCGTAAAGCCTCAAATAATCACAAACAAACAATGGTGTTTCCACTGTACTAAACTAAAACACCCTTTGGGAACAAGACGTTCTCGTAGGTTGAATTTAATTCCAAAATGTACCCTTTACTCCTAACAAACAATCGCAGCAACTAAAAACTATGTTTGTGAAATAATTTTGCTTACTTTATTCTAAAAGTTAATATCTTTGACAACCGTTTCAGTATTTTTTTCCTGATAGGGCCCTTGTCTTGTGAGTGTATGAGGAAGAAAGAAAGTCTTTGTGTATGCACACACACACACACACACACACACACACACCCACACGTTGACGGGTTCCTCCCCACAGCGTCTTTGTCCCGACCCACACAATACACCCCACAACGTACATGACTTATGTATATAACTCGGTAGGCGTGCCGCAATGCATTCGAATGCCCTCACAGGCGAACCATTGTCTCCCACTATCTCAGCCGTAGGATGTGAGGCTGCGAGCGGGTGACTAATTCCACCATGTCTCTTTGCACCAGGAGTTTGAAAACACAGAGGGAGAGGAGTACCAGGCAGATCTCTCTGCTCTGGCCTCGCCTTCCTCCCAGAATGGCCCCGAGGTCTACATCCTCCCCCTGACCGAGGTCTCCCTGCCCGTCTCCAAGCAGCCCGGCAGATCCAGTAAGACGCCACACAGAACCATCAGCACACAACGCCTCCAAGTTATACTGCTCAGACCTTTCACAACCTTTCTTTTAAGTTTTCCTCTCTGGTGTTCCACTCATATCTCCACAAAGAGAGTGGTTGTTACCTCTCGGGAGCAGCAAAAATGAGTTATTTAACATCATACTGGCTCTATTTTAATGGCCGTCTTCAGTTATTTTTTATTTATTTTCAGTTATTATTTCTTACCCTCTCTCTCAAAGCCAGCGAGTGACATCTGAACATATTGAAATCCAGCTACATGCTGTGTGTGAAAACTGTACCTCACTGGAGAGGAAAGAATCCGACCTCGGCCTCCAGTGTATATTATTTGTGTGTTTCTATGCAAGTTTGTAAATAAATACTACTCCACATTCAAATGAATCTTTTTACACTCCGCACACGTTCATATCATATTGGTGCGTTTAATTTCTACATCCAATGAGCCTCCTCAGCAGCGTCACGGACTGTGGGTTTTATTTTCAGGTCATTCTTAACCCATACCAGCCTGTGAAAACGTGCATGCGTGTACAGTGTGTGTGAATCTGTGTGTAAGCCAGACCCTGAGTGCCTCTCCCTGCATGACTCACTGGCTGTCTGCTCAGCCAGAATGGAGGTAAGTCGCGGCTCAGCATCCCAGAATGAGAGCTGCAGCACTGATTGGGCAAGGAGGCCTCAGGCTCGCAGCCAATCCCTGGCCTCCTCCCTCGGTCCTCCATGGCTGCCGCTGCATGATTGGACCAGGTGTTGCAGGGCGAGGAAGGGATAGATTGCAAGACAAGATAAAAATGTATTTTACCCATTGTCCCTTTTGCATATAAAGACACATTTTTTAATAGGAAAGTATAGTTTTTGAAGCCTTTCTACTCTTTTGCTAATATTTGATAGATTACTAAGAATACAAAAAGATTTTCGAGGTTTGTCTACAATAAATGTCGAAGCCTAAGCCGGCTCCTCCATACATATCCCATTGTGCACACGTCAAATGTTATCCTCCCCCACACTGACATACACAGACTAAATGAAATGCTTCACCATTACATATTGAGCAGAAACACTAGTGGTATAGTTTATACATTTACCATGAATGGCGTGTTCTGTATCACTAATGCATCTATGAACACATAGTACAACGTTTGCCATTGATCTGACAGGCCCGCTTTTCATTCAAACCCACTACAGAGAGTCGATGCATCAAAGTGAGTGTGTGGAGCGGTTGTGTGCGTGTGTGTATGTGTGTGTGTGTATCATTCCGTTCGCCCACCGATCCCACAGCCTCACTTGCACCCCACCATCTTCTCCGGAAATGCCACGAGTAGGACTGGAATGCACGCTCATGCTCACACATTCCACATTTGCAATAATACCACTTTTTTTAGTTCCCTCTGTCAGGGACGAGGGTGAAGGCTTTGGGAGGAGGGGGGGGGGGGGCTGTAGAAGTGTGGGTATGTTATTACCATGACAACATCTGCCCAGCGTTCCAGTGGAGAAAGGGGCTTTGTGTTGTGTCCTGCACATGAGTGTTGGCTGTGTTTGGTCCACTGGGTACCAGGAGAAGCGAGCCTAACAATGACCCTGATTTAGGCCGACGGGGCAGTGGGCGGGCAGAAGGCCGAGCTTGGACGTCCATGGAACGCACCAGTGGAGGACTGGCATTATGGGTGGAATACAGTGAGCTGTCTGTGACAGAATGAGGAGGGACATGGGGAAGGGTGGTGGCATGCACCAAAACCTAAGAGGGGGGAGGGGAGGCTTAAAGATAGGGGCGGCGAGGGTTTGTGACAGAGGTCTTTTCTGCATTTGACAAAGCAGAGTTTGTGTCCTGTTTGTCTGTGGAATGCTGCTGTCCTGGGTGACAGTGGGGCATTATGGGGGCCTTATGTCACCACTGGGTGTCTTGGAGCTGCGACCAGAGCTGGCGCGTCAGTCGGCACACTACCAACATGCGTGACGGTCACATCAGGCGTGAAAATACGTGAAAATCTCAGCACCTGGAGAGCAGAGATCCTCCACCGCCTGCAGATTGGTCCACTGCCTCCATGCCGTTGAGCGGCTCGTCTCGGCTCAGCTTTCCGTCCTTTTAAATGTAGTCTGTATGGGAAGGAAGGATTTGGGTGTTTGCGCGACAGCAGGAGAGCTGTAGACGGGGACGGTACAGTATGTGTGTTTTCGTGCGTCCCATTTGGAGGATGAGTTCGGTGCAGCCTAGGAGAGGCAGCGTGGCGAGCTTGTTCAGCTGTGCGAGGGCTCCGAGGGTTAAATCCTGCCGGAGCTCTTGTGCACACACGCACAGTGTGACCGTGCCTGGGGTCGGGCCCGGGGGGCCCCGGCTCTCGGTTCTCACACTCGGGAACCAGTACTTCCTCCCCGCTTGGGACTCCGGCTCAGTCCCTGGTAGTGGTGCTCAGAGTGTCTTGCTGCACCCTTTGACCCACCATCATCATCTCCGCTCATGAGATATGAGGATCCATGGAGGTATTTGAATTTGGGGACAACTCGCTGGCTTCAAGTTCTCCTGTTCTTGCAGGTACTTATTTCACGTAGCTGGAAAGTTGGTTTTATTTGCAATCAGGATGCACTTGATGCACTGTGTTATTTAAGAAAACGTACATACATCTTTTGGGCTGAGAGGAACTACTGTTTTCACTGTGCTCTTCTACTTTTTTTTACTTCATTCATTGAAAACCTTTCTTTTCTTCTTCGCAACTAATTCTAGTGTAATTCTTTCTAACTAATCTTTTGTTTGTTACCATTACTTTCCAGTCCAACTGCTGAAATCATCAGACCTTGGCCGCCATAGTCTACTCTATCTAAAGGAAATTGGACATGGCTGGTTTGGCAAGGTGAAGCATTTGATTTGTTTTGTTCCTAAAACACACACAATGTTTTTGTGTATGTAGACACAATATTTGTACTTCCATTTAAATGTTTCTTTACTTTGCCTGTATAAACTGTACTCCAATGTGCTTTCTACTCTGTGAAGAATGCAATGGTAATGTGATGAGGATGATCTCATTCTTGCAGAGCTAATCGTTGGCACTCAGAGAAGAAGAGTTGACTTTCACAGTCACAGTGAATTTCTCACGGTTTATTTTACAGTACACGCTGATGTGACACTATCCTTTGTTTTTCTTTCAAACTTTGTATCTCCATGGTGATGCTGTCTTATGAATCACAGTCTGCAGTAAAATACTCTATACTCAGGTTCTGCTGGGTGAGGTCAACGCCGGCCTCAGCACCACCCAGGTGATCGTAAAGGAGCTGAAAGCCAGTGCCAGCGTCCAGGACCAGATGCAGTTCCTTGAGGAGGCGCAGCCATACCGGTTAGTTCACTGAATCATCAGTGATCCCTCAGCACAGCCCTT